GATTTGCCACCCGTTACCTTAGAGATAGCCGCATCAAGCTTTCCTCCGAAGAGGTTGGTCCCGTCAAAGGGAATCTTGCACCAGCTGGTTTTGGAAGAGTTATCCGCCACCCAAGGCTTCAGCCACAGCGCTCGCTTGGCAGTGACGGTGTAAAGCATGGCTCTGGCCGAGCTGCGAACAACATCGATGGCTGCCTCCGCCATGAAGTCTCCCGTCAGCCTCAGTTCTTGAAGGGCCGAGATAACTTGGTCTGTATCGACGTTTGCCCGCAGGGCTCTCTCCAGATTGTCAATCCAAATCGACACTGCCCATGACACACATGTTAATGCGATCGCTGGGCGCCAGGCCCCTCCAGCAGCCGAATAGGCCCTCTTCAGGTCCAGGTCAATCTTACGCTCCAAAGGATCCCGGAAGGAAACTGCATCCTCCATGGGGAGCGTAATATGGCGTGCAAGACGCATGACTGCTGCGTCTACTACCGGTGGGTTAACTAGGCTTGCAATATCCTCTTCATTAAGTGGATATAGTTTTGTTAGCCTATTGTTGAGGTTCAGCTCTTTTTCCATCTTCTTCCACTCCTCCTGGACGATTCCCTTAATCTCCTCCAGGAACGGAAAAGTGTTAGTTGTCTTTAGAAGATGGGGAAAATAAGTTCTAGAGGTGGAAGCTACTGCGACCGGCTCTTCCCAACCTAGCGCCTCCTTCCTGATATAGTTACACATTTTATACTTGGAAGGGCCACAGGGATCCTGTAAAACACTGTAGTCGCCACAGCTACTACAGTGCACTTCTAGGTCAGGGGTGGGCAAACTCTGATCCTCCAGTTGTGCTGAAACTACAAATCCCATGATGCATTTGTCTCTGGCTGTCATGCCTGTGGCTGTCAGAATCCTGCAATGCCACATGGGATTTATAATTCCACAACAGTTGGAGGGCTGAAGTTTGCCCACCTCTGTTCTAGGTTGTGCATTGCTGAGCGACTTCCCCTTTGCTGTGAAAACAGAGGGTTGCTTCATCGGCACAGCAGCCATTAAGCAAACTCTTCATATTTTTATCAATTAATACTAGGCATTTTAGAATTGTATGAGGGATATGTATAGCCTCAAACTAAATAAAATTAATCCCTGTCCAGATTAATCTCCAGGTCCCAACAATGACTTTGGATGACATGTGCATTCACTGCACAAGCATCACATACTCACATAAGTGAACACAATGTCACTCAAACTTTAAGCTATCGCAAACTTGTGATAAAGTTGTCATTGTGCTGATTTGTGCCCTTTTCCACCCGATTTAATATTTTTAAGTTATTATAACAATTTAGGCAAACCGTTTCTTCCCCCAGCCAATGTTGCAATGTAGGGTTGGTAAGGGGAATAAAGTGTTCCCAAAGTAAAAACGTATGTTCACCGTGAGGTTTACCATTCCACTAGGTTACATAAAAGTTGCACTATTGTGATATTTTATTCAGTGGATTTGCAAAAGGAATATTTTTCTCATTTTTTGCGTTTCCTAATATAAACCAAGGTGACAAAATCTATGTATCCAAATAAAATCCGCATCGGTCATGAAACAAAACCCTGTATAATAGATTACAAGACCTAAAAAAATAGGGATGCACAGATACCAAAAAGGTCTTGGGGATAGATAAAGATAGATAGAGAGACAAAGAAATATATACATTAGGGATGCACCGATATATCGGCCGCCGAAACATATCGGCCAAAATTGGCATTTTTGGCTAAATGCCGAAAGTGCCATTTTTGTGCCCATACATCGGCGCATCCCCGCTTTCTCTCCTCCCCGCTGGGCGCTGCGCTGTGTCTCAGCAGGGAGGAGAGAAAGCGACAGCCGGCCGAGCGCTGCAGTTGGAGAGTGCTGTCAGCGGCCGGTGTCTCTCCTCCCATACCGCTCGGCCACTTATAACAGTGCAGCAGAGCGGTGTGGGGGCGGAGACAGCACTGTCGCAGTAGGCTGGGCTCTCCTCTCGCACTGCTCACTCAGCCTCCTGCGACCGCGTGTCAGAGAGGAGAGTTATCTATCTATCTATCTATCTATCTATCTATCTATCTATCTATCTATCTATCTATCTATCTATCTATCTATCTATCTATCTATCTATCTATATATATATATATGCAGCAATAGCATTTTTTCCAGACCATGTACAAGTGCTGATACTTTTCCAAGTACTCACAGATACAAGTACTGGTTTAGTGTCATGCATTTTTCTAAAACAATACAGACTAATGATTTCAGGACAGTGGTGGAGCGCCAGAGCCCAGTTACAGCTGCAAACCTGGAAGTTCGCATGAAAATGTCAAGTATTGGCACTTGTATCTGAACTCGTATCTGTGCATTCCTATAAAAAAAAAATAATGTGCTTAGCCAAGACATCACCAAAAAAAAAAAAGGGCCCTGGGATTCAGGGGGATATAGGGATAAAAGGGTCAGGAGACTCAATTAGTTAATCATTCAATATCACCCCCTGAATGAGCTCATAGTCTAAAGCATTATTTTACTTATTTACCCCAGAAGAACCTTTGAAAAAAAATGTCAGGAACCCCTGCTAAAATGAAATAAACCTAATGTTTGTAGAACATTGGTGCAATAACTAAATTGTAGAACATTTCCAATACAAGAGTAAACAATATGACATGTTTGACACACTGGGCAGTTCATTTTTTACTCCCTTCTACTCTTTTAGTAATAATCTTTGAATTAAACAGTTATAACAGAAACAGACAGTAAAAATGGTGGTGTCCACTAACAAGTGATCAGTGTAGAAGTGCCCCCTTGTATTGCTAGTCAGTGTAGTTAGAAGACAAATTTGTTATTCCACAACCATTTAATTATTATTTTGAAAGGGTTCTACTATATACTCACGTGTGTATACATTCCGCCTTACCTGATCATAGGCCCAGAATTTCATGGCCGTCTCTGGGGCGATTTTGATGACGTTAACGCCATTCCCCCGCCAGAGGGATTTGATACCTCCTTCCTTCACCATTTGCTTTAGACCAGCCAGCATGTTTGCGTTTCCTTTGGTCCCATGCACCTGGAAAAAAGTTACAGATTTCCTCATCAAAATGACACATCGTTACAGTTCATTTAGGAAAACTAAGCATTTCTGTATTCAGTCACTACCTCTTGATTAACTGTTTTGCAAGTTATATCATTTATGTTATTCCTCGTTTCAATAGCATAAATAGTAGAAAGAAACCTTTAACGTATTACTTCTGTTATTTTACAATTACATTTTTGCAGAATATCACTAACAGTGTATAATGACCATATTTAGCGACACTCCAATATATACCGACACACATATTTACCGACACTCCAATACGGGTTTCGATAACCATTTTATGGGTGGCAGTCTAAGTCAGAGGTTATTTCATTCCAATGAATTTAGATCTGAATAGCTGGAACAGCAGTTTGGTAGAACTGTATGCCGCTAATCTACTTACATATGTTACAAACCAGTGCATGACCGACTAAATATACATATTATCCACAAAGCCTAAATACATCATAAAGTATTTTATAACTAGGACAGACAAATACCTGCATCATAACTTTCAAACGGTCAAGAGGGGCAGTTCCTGTACGGGACACGGCTCCAGCCAATCCTCCGGCCAAAAGCTGTCTCCACCACTGACCAGTCTTCTTCTCCTCTTCTGTAAACTCATCTGGAATAGTGAGGCTGTCACCAATATCCAGCACCTGAAAAGTATGAACATAGCATAATATCCAGCATTGAACACCACAAATCCTGCATGTGCTCAGGCCAAATAAATATTTTAGAGCTAGCCAAGCAATGTTACTTTTTAAGTCACTGGCCTGATCAGGTGAACAAATGTCAGGGTTGCAGAACTGGAAAATGGAGAATGAAAGATATTGTGGGAGGTGTGAGTAAGGTGGGGAGGCAGAGGTGGGTGACCCATAGGTCCCAAAGTTCACTATGAGGAGGTAGGTGACCCATAGGTCCCAGATTACCTTGAATTTGGTTATTGTGGGTGTACGTCTTGCTGTCAACTTTTTATTTGGGAATGTTGAGTGAAGTCTATCTTTGACTTCAACTAATGAGAATGAATTGTACAGCCAAGCTTTCACTATAGTTTGTTTCGAGGCAGTAAAGGTGAGCGCCATGGGAGTGAATTGGTTTTTCGAGAAACCATCTGATTTATTATTAAAGTGACATTAAAGTCCAAAAATGTTTTCCCTCCCCCCAATGTTAATGTTAGCACTTACCTTAAATTATGTCTCTTAATTCGATCTTCCTCTTCTTTCCTGATCCAGCGCTTACTCCTCTGTCCTTGCTGGTACTTCCTGTCCCAAGGTGTCTGCATGCGGGTGCACGCGTCCATAGACTTAACCTTGCGTCTCTCGTCTCACGGCCGAAAATCCGAACTGCGCATGCGCCCACCCCAAGATGCTTTGCGGCCGCCCGAGCAGTTTCGGATTTTCTGACGGGAGCGCACGGCGAAGACTGGGTAAGTTTAAGCCGCTGTTCAAGTGGTTTTTTTTGTTTTTGGTTTACTTTTTGCATATATCTACTGCTTGCAAAAACACCGGAGGCTTTAGAAACCCTTTAAGAAGCGCTTTGTATGGATTCTCATGCTAAATGTATCAAATACCTCCTCTACCCCAGGACTCATCTGGGAGACGCCAATACATGTGTCATACACACTTGCTGGGGCCTATTGATTAGAAGTCAATTAAACTTACCATTATGTTTTTGGATTGTGAAGTAAACTGGAGTATCTCAAAGGCATCAAACCAACATTAGAACATAAAAGGATTACATTTGAAGAGATCTTTGTGTTACATTGCAACTCACCGTTGAATGTTTCCAGAAACGAATAATTTCCTGAATGTTATCTGCAGGATTAAACAGAAAGTGGTTCCCCAATGTTAATGTTAGCACTTACCTTAAATTATGTCTCTTAATTCGATCTTCCTCTTCTTTCCTGATCCAGCGCTTACTCCTCTGTCCTTGCTGGTACTTCCTGTCCCAAGGTGTCTGCATGCGGGTGCACGCGTCCATAGACTTAACCTTGCGTCTCTCGTCTCACGGCCGAAAATCCGAACTGCGCATGCGCCCACCCCAAGATGCTTTGCGGCCGCCCGAGCAGTTTCGGATTTTCTGACGGGAGCGCACGGCGAAGACTGGGTAAGTTTAAGCCGCTGTTCAAGTGGTTTTTTTTGTTTTTGGTTTACTTTTTGCATATATCTACTGCTTGCAAAAACACCGGAGGCTTTAGAAACCCTTTAAGAAGCGCTTTGTATGGATTCTCATGCTAAATGTATCAAATACCTCCTCTACCCCAGGACTCATCTGGGAGACGCCAATACATGTGTCATACACACTTGCTGGGGCCTATTGATTAGAAGTCAATTAAACTTACCATTATGTTTTTGGATTGTGAAGTAAACTGGAGTATCTCAAAGGCATCAAACCAACATTAGAACATAAAAGGATTACATTTGAAGAGATCTTTGTGTTACATTGCAACTCACCGTTGAATGTTTCCAGAAACGAATAATTTCCTGAATGTTATCTGCAGGATTAAACAGAAAGTGGTCCCGCCACTCATTCCAGTCTACTGTGAGGGTGCCATCTGCATCCATACTGGCGAGAGACAAAATTAATCAAAGTTTACTAGTCAATCTTTTATTCTAATTTTAGAAAAATTAGCAAAAGAAAACCCCTGGATCATAACTATGGACATGATATACCCCATAAAATGTTAAAAATGCAAATGGGAGAATAAATGTTCCAACCCTTTTACTTTTTTTAATAGCACTTTCATTTAGTAGTTTTGACTTTGAGGCTTCAAAAATTGCATAAAACGTTACTCAACAGAAAATTAAATAAATAATATATTTTTTTTAAATTAGCAAGCTACCGTACATATATCATCGAATTACATACATGTAACTGGTTTTGCCAGATGACTGGTATTTCTAACACTGATTGTATAATCTCCTTTAGATGTATCAGCAATATTATAGTGAAAGGGCCTGCCTGACTGGATACAAATTGATTGGATAGACTACGTGTGTCCTCATATTATATAGAGTTTTAGTAAATCTAAAGTTGATTGTACAGTAACATGTATGGTGGCCCTAACAGCCCTTCCAGACAAAAGCGCCTGCCTGTTGACCTGACGTTTCTCTGCTGCAGTTAAGCACCCCAGCTAGGTCACCTTCGTTTCCTCGCCTGTTATTGGCCGGCAATGGAACAGCAACAAAGTAATGAGTTCATCTCTTATATCTGGTCAGCACATGACAATGCATCAGAGTCTGATTGGACAAAGATACTGCCTCTTCCTCTCCCATCAGGAGTGCTGCTGTAATGGGGATTAACTTTGAAATAAAGTAAAACTTGGATATTTATACTAGTTAGTTCATAAAACGAATGTTTTTAATATCTGGGTTTAGATATACATTACAACTCTTGGAAATTACAAAATTATATTGCAGTGTACTGAGCTGGTCCAATCAGCTGCAGCCAGGGCATGTCCTGCCCCGAAGCTACACGTAACAAAGGGGCAGGGAATGCCCTGGCTGCAGCTTGATACAGTTATATTATGGCTCCTAATAGCACCCCAACACCTTTGTAACAAGGCAGGCACGGACAACAAATTGTTCTGGGTCTCTTGTTTAGCGATCAGCTCGTGCAAACTTTAGAAACTTAAGAAAAGCCATGTTAAAAAGTTAATAAGTGACCTAAGGAGCCCTGCCATTAAAAACTATATATAGTGGTTTCGCATTGAATTCTTCAAAGAGACACTGCCACCTTGCCCATGCAGGAGACCGCGTCTATGGAAAGGGCATCCCATACCAAATAAAGTCACGTAATCTGCAGCACTGAGGAATGCAATATCTCCTTCGTCACCGGTTCTCATTAAGTGGATTTTGCAATCATAAATACTTCTTTTATTGTAGCTTAGTGTGTCACAATAAACATAACGAGCACTTCCTTTGTTCATGCAGAAAGGCTTATCTCGATGTATTTTTATGCCTGTATATTTCTCTCAGCACGGGTTTCCTTTAACCTCTTTATGACCAGGGCTTTTTTGTGAAATAGTGTTGGTCACCAAGAAGTTAAAGAAAACCTGAGCCGTCACAAAGCTGGAAGTAGGTCATAGTGTAGATCTATTGACGTTTGTAGAAACACCCCAAGAGAAGAGCTAGTTGCCCACAGTCCAAAATGCAAGATATCTGGGAATAGGTCATACTGAACATTAGGGCTGCAACAACTAATCGATTATAATCGATGATTGAAAAAGTTGTCAACTTTTTCAATCATCGATTAATCGGCTTCCGATTGGTTGGCTCCACACACGCTGCACGCCACACCTCCTCCCCGCCGCTGCCAGACCCGCCTGCCCGAATCCACACGCCACACCTCCTCCCTGCCCGCCCAAATCCACGATCGGCACAGGGACGCGGGGAGAAGAAGTAAGGAGGAGCAGGTGTGGGCGGATGACAGCCACCGATAGACAGGCCCGATCTCAGAAACGAGTTGCTGGAAGACTGCTCAGGTAAGCCTGCACTTTCCCACACATGGTGCTCTATAATGTATTGCTGGGGTTTGTATTCCTCTATAGCTGATGGTACATTGTGCTGTACTGTACTGTATATTATACAGAGCAATGTACCATCAGCTATAGAGGAATACAAATCCCAGCAATACATTGTACACTGTATGTATAATGTATTGCTGGGATTTGTTGTATTCCTATATAGCTGGTGGTATTCTGCATTGCGATGTATAGAGGACTACAAAACCCAGCAATAGTACATTATACCGCGTAATGCAGAATACCACCAGCTGTAGAGGAGTACAACAATCCCAGCACTAATACATTATACAGTGGTGCAATGCCGAATACCACTAGCTATAGAGTACTATAACACCCAGTACATTATACAGCGCAATGCAGAATACCGCCAGCTATAATGTACTATTGCTGGGTTTTGTAGTCCCCTATTGCTGATGCCATTCTGCATTAATTACTGTATAATTTTACACTTTTCATTTCACTATACAGTATTGCACACCACACTTTTTTTTTCTTTTTTACTTCCACCGCAACAAACTTGCTTCTGTGATGGACTACAATCGCAGTACAAACTAGTAGTCCATCACTGGAGCCATTTTTAAAAATGTTATTTCATTTGATTTTTTTTATCCGATTAAATCGAACTTTATAAATCGGCTAACTAATCGATTTTGAAAATAATCGTTAGCTGCAGCTATACTGAACATCAATTAATGTTTTTTGGAATGCCCCACAGATTAAAGCTGGCAATCCACACCTTGAATTTCTGCTGATTCAGCAGGCATTTGAGCAGGCTGTGGCCCTATTGGCACCACCCGGTTCAACAAAAGTGGATTTTTCAAGTGACTTTTATTGAAGGAGCCAGGTGGGAAATTATTGGCCTAACAGTGCCTGCAGCCAACCAGATGCACTCATTGTCCAGGTTGGAGGTGCATAGAAATGAAAATGTTAAAACCAAAAAAATATATATGTCGGGCCGAAATCGAAAATGTTTTGGGTTTTTTTTCAAATATTTTATTTTTTATAAACTGAATTTTTTTACTTTACTTTTAAGGGGCTTCAAGGAAATATTAGGGGTCTAAACAGAGCCCTCATATTTCCCTTTTAAAATAGAAAAATAGGTTGAGGACACAGAGTCCTCAGTCTCTTTTCTGCAGCCCCAGTTATAAATGAAGAGGAAGCCTCTATACTGAGTGTTCCTGTTCATTCATAACTTGCGGAGATAGTAGGTTTACCATGTGCGCAATCATGAATGAACAGGAGGTGATGTAGATCACTTCCCATTCATTCATAATTGAGGATATAGTCCACATACCATATCCTCAATTATTTATAAATACCTCGCTCTCCATCCTGACAGCTGTCACAGGAGGCTGAGCGAGCGGTGCGGGGAGGAGAGCTCGATCTGACAGTCGACTCCTTCCCCATACCGGCCGGCCTTCTGCGACACCACTGACCGTCTCCGCCCACATGGCCGGTCTCCTGATATGCGACAGGAGGCTGAGCGGTGCGAGAGGAGAAACGCGCGCACATCGCTCTCCTGCCGCAGCGCTCGGCCTCCTCTGACACTTTCTCTCCTCCGGTACACAGAGCAGTGCCCACTGGGGAGGAGAGAAAGAAGGGATGCACCGCTATTTCGGCCAAAAACGGCATTACACCAAAAGTGTCATTTTCGGCCGATATATCGGTGCATCCCTAGTCCAGGTATTCCGCATATGAATACAATAGCCGGCTGCAGGGATTCCTCTATCCACACTGTTTGGCATAGATGGGGAAATTAATGATTACACTGAGAGAAATCTAGGAGGGTATGGCCAGTAAGTAATCATACGCCATAGACCTACTGTCCATTGTTATTGGAGAATTACAAGTGTTCACGTTATACAAAAAAAGTTACTCATTTTAACATATGAAAAAATCCTGCATGAGGAAGCAAGGGGAAGCTACAAGAACATGTTTTTCATTGAATTCTTCACACACTAGTTTTTATTGAATCAAGTTCACAGTGTATAACACGAGCAGAATTACTTGTATGTTCCACGTTTGTCAGAGATTAAATGAGTATTATTATCTATGCCCATAACAAAGAAGAATGAGTCACCATGTTGACACATCACCATAATGCCCATACACAATATGCTAAGACATACACACACCCACACATACTGCTGAAAATACAGGCGATGACCACATTTCCAGCTTCTTACTGCAATGGGACAGGAGCATGCTTTTATATTGTAAACAGCCCTTGAAAATCTTAAAGCTGGGCTTGCACTAAGATGTTTCTCATTCAGCCTCGAGGACTTAATGTGATAAATTATTTGATTCCCACATCCACATTAAAGAGCGCAGATGGAGAAATCTCCCCTGTAGGGTTTTGTATTCTGACAGCTGCAGGAACCATTGATTGGCTCTAGTTTGGTTCCAGTTTCAATTGGCTCCTTTTACAAAAGTTGAGCGAAAATAAGACTGGTTGAGCTGGGTGGTGCTGCCAGGGCCACCATTTCGTTACTAGTCTAGGCTGGGTTGAGGGTGATTTTCTCATCCACAGCCTGGGGATACATGTTTGAGGTTGAACGGTTTATGCATCCACTTTGCATCGTGTTTTAGGTGCATTTGTTGGTGGTCAATAAAGAAGATTAATAATGTGAAAGTACAACATTCCTACCATGAAAACATGCTCGTAGAAATATGCCGTAACGGTGTATTCAAACACAAATATGCAAAACATGATTGAAATCCAGTCTGATCACCAGCATACAAATAACATGAGCAAGCAAATAAGAAAAAGACTCCCATTCACAAAAGGTGGAGGTGTTGAGGATTCAACAAAGCATTTAAAACACTTTTCTGGTGTAAGGGTTGTTTTAGAAAGTCCTGCACTTAATTTATGAAAGCCATGCAACAGTTTTCTTCCATTTCTGATGCCTGGAAAAAAATGCAAGTCTTTCTCATGTGCTACACATTACCTTCTGGCGATATGGCAGCAACAAATTCATTAAGACATACCACCATGACAAAAATATTGTCAGAGACAAAATTCTGCAGCAGATCCATATACATCTCACTGACGGGTACATGAATCTGTCGCAGTTTGTGCATTTGTTGCAGGGACGGGATATAGATTTGTAATGTGTGTCAATGACACGCTTTATGAAATTACAGGGATGAATTCCAGTTTAGGTCTGAAAGAACTGAGAAATATAACACACACACCAAAAGTATTGGGACATCCCTCCAAATCATTGGATTCAGGTGTTCTGTGAAATGTCCTTGCTAATAAAATATTCCACAGGCAACTGTTAGTGGTATTATAACAAAGTGACAATAGCTACAGACCTCCAAACTTTGTGCGGCCTTCAGATTGGCCTAGAGAGCTTCATGGAATGGGTTTCCATAGCCGAGCAGCTGCATCCAATCCTTACATCACCAAGTGCAATGCAAAGCGTCGGATGCAGTGGTGTAAAGCACGCCTCCACTGGACTCTAGAGAATTGGAAACGTGTTCTCTGGAGTGACAAATCACGCTTCTCTATCTGGCAATCCGATTGACGTGTCTGGGTTTGGTGGTTGCCAGGAGAACAGTACTTGCCTGACTGCATTGTGCCAAGTGTAAAGTTTGGTGGAGGGGGAGGAGGATTATGGTGTGGGGTTGTTTTTCAGAGGTTGGGCTTGGCAACTTAGTTCCAGTGAAGGGAACTCTTAAGGCATCAGCATACCAAGACATTTTGGACAATTTCATGTTCCCATCTTTGTGGGAACAGTTTGGTGATGGTCCCTTCCCGTTTCAACAGGACTGTGCACCAGTGCACAAAGCAAGGTCCATAAAGACATGGAGGAGCGAGTTTGGGGTGGAGGAACTTGGACTGTCCTGCACAGACTCCTGACCTCAACCCGATAGGAGTGGAGATTGCAAGCCAGGCCTTCTCGTCCAACATCAGTACCTGACCTCACAAATGCGCTTCTGGATGAATGGTCAAACATTCCCATAGACACACTCTTAAACCATGGGTACAGCCTTCCCAGACGAGTTGAAGCTGTTATAGCTGCAAAGGGTGGGCCAGCTCAATATTGAACCCTATAGACTAAGACTGAGATGCCATTAAAGTTCATGTGCGTGTAGAGTACCATGCGTTCCGGTGTGAGCGATCCGTGCGATCCTCAGCTTGGGGTCGAGTGCTGGGCTGCTGTGACAGAGCTCCATCCATACATACATTGCTTGTACAACTCCCGTGCGCCCTGTGGAGGTGCTAGGAGCCAGAATGTGACATCACTCCGATCCAGGCACTTCTACAGGTCACGTGAGGGAGATGTAAGCAATTCATGCATGGATGAAGCTCCCTCGCGGCCATTGCTCCAGCCCACCCCACCTCAAGCTGACACTTGGCGCCAGGCAGCATATTCTGAATGGCTGCTCAGTGCAAGAACTGATATTGCTACGCTAGGGGGAGGCTGAGGAGCCTCTTGCATAGAAAAGTGAAGGGCACGCGACGACCCACTGAAAACGGGGTCGAGACCCACTTTTGGGTCACGACCCACCAGTTGAGAAGCAAGGTTTTAGGCAGAGTAGGGAACCACTAGAACCCCTGTCAAGTTTTAGTGCTGTTTGTAAGCCAGCTGGGGAGAATTATCGTTTCCATTTCTCCTAGTGACCATTGTCACCGAGACAAAAAAGGCGAGACATACAGCATTTTACAGCTGTTCAAGTGATGAGTAAAATTTAACAGCCTGCTTCTTTGCCTTTTTTTTTGTCACTACAGTCAAAATCTATTGTCCATTTGACTCCATTAACTATTTAGAAAAGACGCATTCAAAACAAACTGATGGAAGGTTTAAAGACATATTCCACTTTCTAGAAAAATAAAAATGAATAAATGCCCCCATGTTATAGAAAGTAGAAATGGGCATTTAATCATTTTTGGCACTGGAGTCTGCAAAGCATTGCAACCGCAAATCAGTGGATCATGGGTGCAATTCACAGGCTTCTGCAAACTGTTCCACCAGTCCCAGGTCCATACGGAGGTACAGACCAGCGGTTATCGAGTTGGAGGAAGTTTTCAATGGATTGCAAGTGTGGAGTCGTGGTGGCAGATGGACTTTTTCAAGTAGAAGTTCTGTGAATGGATCTGTGAAGAATGGCAACAGCCGCGAGAAATGTAAAAATACACAGGTATTTCCATGTTGCAGAACCGATCTTTAAAGTAGTATTAAAGTCTCTCCATTCATCCAGAAGCGCATTTGTGAGGTCAGGTACTGATGTTGGACGAGAAGGCCTGGCTTTTTACATATATCTACTGCTAGCAAGGGGGGAGGTGCGAGTTTAATGTCACTAAGTATTATTCAGTATTGATGAAAAAAGACGACATAGAAGCCATCTGTAACAAACTTACCTTTTGAGGATTGTCTCAGCATGGTCTGCTGAAATGTTTATACCTAAAGTCTTAAGAGAATTCAAGATTTCAGATGCTTCAATCTTTCCTGGAATGAGAAAGATGAAAGATGAGTGGCCCATGTAAATAGAAAACAATATACTCTACGATCAACGCAAACGAAAAGCACAAAGAAATCTCTGGGAACAGTGCTGTTAAACCATGGGCTATAAGGCTGATTTCACATGGGCGATTCCTCCACTAGAGACAAACCCCCAGCAGCAGGGTGGCACAGTGGCCGTCTGTCCCTATCTGCTCCCTTTGTAGCCAGATGCAGTAAGATGTCACTCTGTTCCTGGACCTGCTGAATATAAATCCCCAGCACCAGGGTCCCTGGAAACAGAATTGTCCATCTGGCATCACCCTAACCACAATACCGCTCATAGTAAGTAAAAGTGCTTTTCCAGTAATATCATAAACCTCCAATCATTTCCTCAGAGTGGGACTCTGTTAGCAGAACACACATTTACACAAAGCATACTGATGCTACTAGACAATATGATAAATCTACAATGCTGGAGAAGAATTCTATGTTGGGCTGAATTCCCTCTAGTACTAAGCCTGGTCATGCAGCTCCTGATAGTTAGGAATAGCTGACAGGCAACACAACAACTGAGACCAAAAACACAACGCAACAAGGTCTAAGGTGGCTGTGATGTCAAAAGGCAGGACTTCCGGACTCAGCTTGGTGTTCTACCCCTTTGAGCCAGGACACAGGATGAGAAAACATATAAAATGAGTATAAAAAGGTTGGGGCAACTGGTAGTAAACTGTGTACAGTGCCCTCAATGACTCAAAAATCCACCAGGTCTTAAAGGATCAGCAGGGGGTACTCACTACAGATATCTATAGGCTCTGGTTTTCATGAACGAGTACATTTATTTCACCCACATTGGAGAATATGTAGTGTTAACAAGCTACCCCAGTGTTGGAAACAAACAGGGATTTGCAGTGATGAACTATACATATAATGCAAATATAAAATCGAAGAACTCATAAGCTGAAAAACAAAACAAAAAAACAAACACTTGATTGCGAAAAGCATGGAGGGGGGAATCTTCCCTGCTGGGCTATTGCATTCTGACTAGGGATGCACAGATACTTTACGATTACCAGTGCCGATACTTGGCATTTTCATGAGAACTACCAGGGTTGCAGCTGGGACCTGGCTCTGGCGCTCCACCACTGTCCTGAAATCATTAGTCTGTATTGTTTTAGAAAAACTGTCACATGACAATAAACAAAAATGTATCAGTACTCGTACTTGCAAAACTGGTATCTCTGCATCCCTTTATTTATATTTATAAAAACAAAATCGTACATTAAAACAGAGATGTACAAATCCCAGGAGCTCCGTGTGCTCCTTACAAATGACAGCTGCCTCCTAATTTTTGAATTTTTCTATAGTGTAGTCTTGGAGCTCAAAGGTATCGGTACATGTACTTGTACCGAGTACTGTACTTGGTATCTTTGCAACCCTAATTCTGATATCTGTGGGCACCAGCTGTCAGAGTACCCAAACTGTGACTGCAGCTGTCGTCACTGCTTGGCTGACAATTTGCAGCCGGGCTTTTATAAAGGTCGTTTGAGAAAATGTTATGCAAACAAACAGTGTGTGGTGCTAGCAGGGCCACACGCAGCTTGAAATTTGGCCAGGTTTGAGCAGTGTATAGCTAACTGAAGGCCAGGGTCACACCATTTTTCGGACCAGATCTGGAACGCGGTGCATTGCGTTTTGAATTGCAATTTTGCCACGTTCTAGTGTTGTTGTTTTTTTTAGCCTAAAATAGGCTTTCAGATGATATCCAGTGCGTTTACTTGTGTTTGTATGCGTTTTTGATGCATTGCAGTGCATTCCAGACCAGAGTACATGAGACAAGCAGTATTTTTTTTGTCTGGTTTGGAACAGACTGCGCTGGTGTGAACAGAGCCCAGAAATACCATAGGGTAACATTGGGATGCTTTTTTGGTCCGGGAACAAACTGTTCTGGTTGGGGCATTGTGTGAATAAGACCTTAGGGAGAGCAGAATCACTACAAGACTGTACAATGGGGCACCCCAACACACATATACATATATAAACCAAAGTACTTGCCTTCAGTTCACCACAAACAGATGTAAATGCATTCTTTATTGTGTTGCCCAAAATAAGGGCAGTTAAGGACACTTCTTTTTGGACTTGGTAAGGGTCCATTCGAAGTGAATGGACGGCTCTAATTCAACATGCATCATGTGATGGTCTTATAGACTTTATTTTGTGAGCGACTATCCACCTTTTTGTTTGAAGCAACTATTTGCTTTATATCTTTAAACATGCACAATGTGCTTAAAACTACAAACCACCTAGCTATTTCTGAACATTCCAATTTTACGCCTGTGACTGTTGTATGTGCGATTAGCCAAACTGGACATTAGCCAGGAGAAAAATAGGTAGTTTACCATTTCCAAGAAATTAAACTAACAGTGTTATGTCTGAATGAAATGTGCTCTTTTTACTGGTTTAATTGTATTTCATGTAACACTGTTATGTCTATTCAATGATGCACCTTTTTAATCCATGTTCATGAACACCTTAATAAACTCATGCACAAAGAAGAATCTTTTTGGTTCTATTAAAGAAGGGCGGGCTCCACATAGCCAAGACAGTTAACATACTGCATATAGGTGCGAAAGCAGCCTGAAAACCCAATAGCTTTCCCTACTTTATTCAAAACTCAACTAAAAAAAAACAGAAACCCCCAAAAACTAAAAGATTCTGCAGGATTTTGGCTTTAAAATGAGAACTATGAGGCGAGTGCTTTTTTTTACTCATCCTCATAGTTCTAGCCGACCTGTGACAATGAAACTGTCACAGGTCGGCTCAGTAGATCGGAAGTGAGCGAACACATACCGGCGTTCGCTCACTTCTCGATCCTGTCACGGCTCTCTGCCGTGACAGGGGAGGGACTGGATTCCCCCCTCCCCGCTCCGATCTTCCAGCGCTCACTGGCGGAACGGACGGGGGAGGGTACAGCTGGCTCTGCCTCTAGATAGGCAGAGCCAGCTGTCACTCACGCAGCTGGGCGGATCTCGACATTGTCGGGATCCGCTTCAGCGTCTCAGTATAGCTATAGCTCGCGGTATACTGAGCTTAGGGTGACGGGAGGACGCTAGTTTGTGTCCTCCCGTTACCCTAAGGAGAACTATGGGGAAAAGCCTTAACCCCATAGTTCTCCTTTAAGGGATTGTTTAAACCAGATGTGTTTGCATGTATTCATAGAAGCATTCCAAGCACATAGACAATACAAATTAATAATTTGCAATGAGTGAAGGTTACACCATTGCATTACATTGGTGTGCATCTGAAAAAAGTAAAGCAGGCTGCATTATTTCAAATACTGAGCTTAGGGTGACGGGAGGACGCTAGTTTGTGCCCTCCCGTTACCCTAAGGAGAACTATGGGGAAAAGCCCTAACCCCATAGTTCTCCTTTAAATAAAGACATACAGGCATTAAAGGTGCATGTGAAGGATGACTATTTTCTCACCATCACTGTTTTTGTCCAGGCTTGTAAAAGCAATTTTCATTTTCTTCTCATGCTCTTCTAGATATTTCATGAACTCTGCAAAGTCAAGCTGTCCATCTTTGTTTGTGTCACCGGCTGCAACAATTTTCTAAAAAGAGGAGAGATAAACGGAGAGACAACCCATTTTTAGTTAGAACTATACAGAACAGGGCAAAGCCATGAGGCCCATACAACCTTCTTTGGGACATAGCTCCTGAACAGTTTTGTGATCTGGCACTGGGGTGGGGTGTTCCCTCTTTTTCTATATTTTGTTTTTCTTCTTTTGCATTCCTTTTCCCACATAGTCCTTATTCCCTCCCCATCTTTCCCTGTTCACCTCTTTCTCTCCATTAGACTATTTAGGTCCACAAATACAAAAAATCCCTTGCAGAGAGTTTCCCAGCAAATGGCTCTAGTCAAATCCAAGTCATTGCTAATACTAGTTTATGTTTTATGCACTAGTCGCTTCTTAATGAAGTTGCCACTCCATTCGCATATTTCCAGGTATTTTGTTTGTGCACTCAACATTGCATGCTCAGGTGCCCTATTATAGTGAGTGTTACTCATGTTCTCCTCTGCATGTGAATATAAAATAAAGAATTTAAAACACTCAGTACATTTGGGTCAATGTGACTCACTGCATGTAACAGCGTTGGGAAATCACCAGGCACCAGCGCTGTAGCATGGAGATACTCCTTAGCCTTACACATGTCTACAATTCAATGTCTACACAGGGTTCCTTCTGCTCTTGGCAGCAGAGCAAAGTGGTGGTGGAGTAAAGGTAACACGATCATTTATTGCAGAGGGGAGGGGGAAAATCAAAGTGAGCCTTCTGCTTTCCCTGCATGGAAAAAAAAGCACAGGTTTACTGTAAGGAAAACACTGTAATAATGCACAATATGTGTTTACTGAGATAAATATTCTATATTCCCTTTCAGAATGAAGATTACATTACGGGTAAGAAGTTGCACATAGCAATATGTATAGGAACTACTGAAGCAAGAGGGTCTGTATGACAGCCAGAGACAGCATTTCCAGGAAGATAGGTCATCAATAGCAGCCTCCATAGTTCCTTTAGAGACAAGTTTTCTTTAAATGGGGACTTGTGGTGTGTGAAGTGCGGCCCAAAAAAAGCCATCAAAGTACACTGGGAATAAGCCCATTCCGCCTCCCCCTGACGCTCTTAGGCCCCTTTCAGATGGGCACTATCTGTTCTGATCAGCAGGGACTCCATGCATGGATACCCTGCCGATCGGAGCAGGACGGAACAGATGTCACTCTTATGACATCCATGTCCATTCAGTTTGATCTCCAGCTTGATGAAAAACTGGTGTGGAGACCTGATTGGACTGCCCATGTGCCAGCAATTGCAAGCTGTTAAAATGAAAACAGAGAGTTGCTGCACAGCATCTGGAGTTACTGCTGTGTAAAATGGAGCATATAGAACACTGTTCTAGAAGCTTGAGAAATACATTATATCATCATCACCATCAGTGCTACATTGAATTTACTCAGTTTCATACATATGCAGATTAAAGGGGTGAACTCTGTATATAATGCCAGTTAAAACCTTGTGACTGAAAAAAAACAAAAAACTTTTTTTAAATAATAAAAATGGGTTCCTATTTAGTAGGGATGCACTGATACTAGCATCGGTGCTGATACTGAGTATTTGTGCGAGTACTCGAACTCGCCCAAATGCTCCGATGCCTAGCCCGATACCCAAACTTCCGGTATCAGAAAGCCGGGCAGCGAGTTGTTACACGCTTCCCGGCTTACTGATTGGCCGGGAAGCTGCCTCCATGCTCCCTCGTCACCTGGTGACGAGGGAGCATGGAGGCAGCTTCCCGGCCAATCAGTAAGCCGGGAAGCGTGTAATGACTCGCTGCCCGGCTTCCTGATTGGTCGGGAAGCCAGCCAATCAGGAAGCCAGGCGGCGAGTCATTACACGGCGCCCGGCTTCATGATTGGCCAGAAAGCTGGCTTCATGCTGCCTCGTCACCTGGTAAAGAGGGAGCATGGAGACAGCTTCCCTGCTAATCCAGAAGCCGGGTTTCGAGTCATTACACGCTGTCTGGCTTCCTTAATGGGACTTCCGGTATCGGCGAGTATAAAAAAAAATTAAATAATAATATTCGGTACTCGTGCTCGATACCAAAACAAATTACTATCTAGCAACTTCTTACCCCGTAGAGAACGCTAGGGGGAAATAAAAATGATTAAACCGTGCAGTGGGGCTACCCCCACACTGTCAAAAGTTAACTGCTTGTTTTTGTCTAGGTTAAAAACAAAAATGTATACTCACCCGAAGCTCCGAGCCGGCTTGTTCTTCAGACTGGCCTTTCATGCGTCTTCATCTCTCCTCTGCAGCTGGTCTAAGGTCCCCAAGTCATCACATTCTACACACAGTGTATAAAAGGTGAGGATGGTGAGGGAAGTTTCAGTGCTGCAGCATAGGAGGAGACAGGCTGGAAGGAGCGCTGCGATAGCTGGATGGCTCAGAACCTCGGGTTCTATAGCACCTAGACATTTTTTAGTGTGCCATTAAGAATGAACTGATTGAACTCAATAAATCAGAAAACGACAGAAACCTGCCCATCTACTTGGAGAAAATATTTTACCATTGTACCTAAAGTGACACTATATTTAGGAGTTAAATCTCAAAAATTCATTAAAGTACCTTAAAAGAGAACTATGGGGTAAACTGTTTTATCCCATAGTTCTCTTAAGGGTCACGGGAGGACATATACTAACCTCCTCCCGTGACACAAAGCTCAGTATATGGCTAGTTTGCAATGTACCGAGAGCGCCGCAGACGGAATGGATCCCGACAATACTATCGAGATCTACCCAGCTGGCTGATTGACAGCGGGCTCTGCCTATCTAGAGGCAGAGCCCGCTGTGCACGCCCCCTCCCCGTCCGTTCCTCCAGTCAGCACTGAAGGATCGGAGAGGGGGGGGGGATCCCTGCGGGGAGCGGTACTGACAGTCACCGCTCTCTGCAGGGAGATGATCAGGAAGTGAGCGAGCAACGGTATGTGGTCGCTCACTTCCCGATCTATTGAGCGGACGTGCGACAGCTTCAGTGTCATATCAGCACTATGAGGATGAGTGGAAATCACTCATCTCATAATTCTCCTTTAACTGTTAAGAAAAATGTTTCTTATTTGTGTATCACTCGGCTGGAGATCCTCAAATCACCTCTGAATTGGTGCTGACACTGTCCTTCCTTCTGGAGGGTGGCTACTTTTGTTCCCCATGGTCCCTGTGTGTGTTGTAAAGTAGCCAGCGCTCCAAGCTTAATTTGTATTGAGATTGTAGTCTATCACAGGAGTGAGCTTGGAGTGGTGGCTGCTTTACAACACACACAGGCACCATTGGGGAACAAAAGTAGCCACCCTCCAGAAGGAAGGACAGCAACAGCACCAATTCAGAGATGATTTGAGGATCTATAGCTGAGTGATGCACAAATAAGACACGTTTTTGTTCATAGTTAAAAGGTGCTTGAATACATTTTTTAGATTGAACTCCTGAGTTTAGTGTCACTTAACTGTGCTCCTAATCAGTTTTTGAATGGCTCTCTATATGGCAAAGTACACATTCATGAAGCCAACACACTGACTGATCTCTGACACTAGGCCAGCAGGCTTTAGTTTTTATATTTGATTGCAATTATCCAGATCAGAAGCCATTCCAGGGAAAGGCTGGAGTCCGTTTACTCACTCATAGTAAAATGTGTTTATTTAAAAAAGGCGTGTGAGGCAGGTCACTGCTTGCAGACCAAAAAAAGGTGAATAGTTTTTGACAAGAGTATGAGCGGTAAGCTGGGAAGTAGGGATATTCAGATGTGCAAACTTTTTTAAATAGGACATTTTGGGAAACTAAGCTTTTTTTTCTTGTTAAGCCCACGGGGCCAAACGAGAAGACATGCACAGTGATGACCAGCCTAAGTTGCCTTACTAAACAAACCAATTTTAGGGCCAACTTAAAGGACACCTGTCAAGATCATATGTGAGCTGTCGACTTTTTTTTGAAGGTCTAAGCCCTGCAATCTCAATCAAAACTTCTTAAATCATTCCCTACTTGGGAGGACAAAGACTGGAAGCAACCCTATAAGGCCCCGTTCACACTGAGCGATTTATCGCGCGGTAATTCCCGCGATAGCACGGCTATTTACCACGCGATATCGCTCTCCAATGCAATCCAATGGGGCTCTGTCTGTAGCTGTCGCGGGTCGTGCGTCGGTACAGCTGGACCCTTTTTGGAGCGGATTTTGCCGCCATTCTAGCTTGCTCAATGCAAGCATTTGCGCGATATCGCGCAAAATGCCAATCGTGCGACAAACGCGCGATTTGCGAATCGCTCAATGTGAATGGGGCCTTAGATGTGCCATCATCCGATATGCATATACCTATTCTAGTTCAGTGATTGACCAAGGTCTGGACAACGATGCATCTTCAAAAGTCAGCAGCTTCCATTTTGAATCCAGATGGGTTCCTTTAGGCCCCTTTCACATGGTCCAATTTAGGAGGTGCATGTTGATCTATGGGGAAACAGATGTAAATGGACTTGTATCCATTTACATCAGATTACCCCCCATCCAGCACGATCAGGTCCAGCAAAAGGGAACTCCATTTATTTTTCCGGTCATGGCTGAAGGCACGGGTAACTGGATGTAAATGGACACTCATCCCTTTAGATCTGGCTGCTCATAGACTAACATTGGGATTCCGAACGGCTCTGTCTGAAAAACTTACAGGCAGACCTGATCGGAAAGGCCGTGTGAAAGGGCTCTCAAAGCAAACTATTGAGCATTAACAGACTAGGCAGGCAGATCAGTTAAGGCTCCATAAACTAGGGAAATCGTTATGATCTTATGCAAACGAGTATGTTTTGGCAATGTATGCATGCAGGTTCCAATTCATCAGCAAAAGCTTTCTAAAAGGTGCCCATACACTGCACGATTATCGTACGATAATCGTATGCGATCGGTTTTTCGTACGATAATCGAGCAGTGTGAACGGAGACGTGCGACCGTTTCTACTGTACGGTCGCACGTCTTCTGTCGAACCAGCATGTTCGAAAACCAGCCGGGAATCGTACGATTCTCGGCTGGTTAGAACGGTGCTCGGAAGATAAATGCTGAACGGGCCGGTGTGCGCACGCGCACACTGCCCGTTCAGCATTGCGGTCATCGGAAGCCCGCCCCTCAGGGGGGTGGGCTTGCGATGATCGAGAGTGCGATCTGCCTGTCCAAGATAGGCAGATCGTACGTTTTTTTAATCCCTTTACAACCATCGCAAGACGAAAGTCTTGCGATGGTTGTAGAGTGTATGGCCACCTTTGGGTGGCCATACACTGCCCAAATTTCAAGGAAGTTGATTATTCAATCACCTTCTGTTGAAAGAGCCAGGCCAAAAATTGCCAGCTGCAGTCACTATTTGAATATTCTGACAGCTGTGGGTGCTGACTGTCAGGATACAAAGACCAGCAGGTGAGATTCCTCCATCCACATTGTTTAGCATGAATGGGGAAATCAAAGAATTTGTTCTCATTCAGCCCATGGCGGTGACTAGTGTACGGCCAGCTTTAGTAACGGTTAAAAGATAAGAAGGGTTTGCTCCACCATAAAAATGACACACACACACACACACACACACACACACACACACACACCATTTCTTTACACTATATCTCATTTACAACTTAATAAGTTAAATAAAATGAACAAAGTCACATCAGTTATAGCCACGTGTCCATCCTTACCACTCCCTGCAGATATTGATCCTGTAGGACAATTACCAGGAACTGCTGACAAAAGACTAGCTAGAAACGCTGAGACCTGGCTATAAGAATGAGGAATAGAGCAAATGTGGAGAGCACGCTTATTACACCAGACGTCAGCCATGACAGCAAAGTGAATCGAGCTTTACAGAGACTGATATAGGATGGAAAATAACAGAACAAGTCTATGGGAGAGGTGGTACAAGTAAAGACTTCTGAGATATACACACTGACAAAGAGAGGGCATTTATTTCTCCGTTAATGACCCCATTCACACTGAGCGACATGGAGAATTGCGCGTTTTTTCAGCATTCAATTTTGTGCTGAGTGGCATTGGGCTACATTGCGCGATATAGCGCGACAGTGCACATTTTCTCACGCTACGTATCGCGACTTTTGGGAGGGACTTTGTCGCTGCTACATTGGGCTGTAACCAATCAACAGCGGTCTTGATGTGCCATCATTCTTTCCGTCCATATTGCTGTGCAAAAGTGACCCCTCTGTAGCGCGTCTATGTGAGTCATTGAGTCTATGTGGCCAAATCGCGCGACATCCACCTGAAAAATAGGTCATGTTTGAGCTACAAGCTTGAGCGACGAGCTACAGACGACATTGAGCTGCGAGATGTGAACAGCTCCTTTGAAATACATTGAGCGACATTGCGCCTAAATATGCGCGATTTTGGAGCGGAAATCGCGATAAAGCGCTCAGTGTGAACAGGGTCTTACACTGTAATATCACAGTGTTGGTGGTGGGTAGCCAGATCTAAAGCTAGCCATACACACACACAGATTTCTCTCGATCAGTCCAGATGGATGTCTCTACATTGCCGTATATTGTATTCAGACAGCTCAGACACCCGCAGCTGCCTGAAGAGAGACTGCATCTAATAGGACACAGTCACCGATTGGCCAACAATCTTCCATCAGGCTCAACCAATGTGTAAATCGACTTTTGTTGGGCCAGATGATGCCACCAGCCACAGATTGAACTTGTCCCGATTCTGCATGAATTGGCTACAGGCCAAGCCGTGTATGGCTAGCTTCCTTATTGTAAACACAGTGTTGAATTAGGGAAGGCACCACCGGGCTCCACAGAATTCGAATAATCAACTAGGCCGGGTGAAAAACAGAGACTGGCCAAATAGTAACTGCGTCTTGTCACGTTCCAGGTGCAGGGGGTGTTGATGGGGTGCTGGTGGTGCATGCTAATGGTGCTCTGGCCAGCGTCCTGGTGGCGCACCGCTCAGCTCTGACTGGCGTCCCACTCAACTCAATTATGTCACTGGTTGCTAGGAGCTGAGCAGAATGCCAGCCAGAGTGTCCCAGGTTGCTAAGAGCAGGGAGCGGAGATGTGTATGGCCCCCCACCTGACTCAAATAGATGCCTTAAGGTGCCCATACACCTTACGACCATCGCAAGACTATTGTCTTGCGATGGTCGTAAGCTTATTAAAAGCTCGTACGATCGGCCCATCTTGGACAGGCAGATCGTACTTGCGATCATCGAATGCCCGCCCCGCTGAGGGGCGGGCTTCCGATGACCGCAATCCAGAACGGGCAGTGTGCGCGTGCGCACACCGGCCCGTTTCTCAGCTGACGAACGAGCAGGCTAGAAACCCGCCAACAATTGTACGATTATCGGCAGATTTTCGAACATGCTGGTTCGACAAAAGACGTGCGACCGTACAGTAAAAACAGTTGCACGTCTTCGTTCACACTGCTCGATTCTCGTACGATCGCGGGATTTCCTGCGATTCTCGTACGAGAATCGAGTAGTGTATGGGCACCTTTGGGCTGTTGAGCCTGATGCAGCTGCCTCATTTTAGGGTCTGATACCTAGGCTACTAGTAGCCAGTGACATTCAAATGGACATGTTCTGTAAAACCAAGGGTGGATGAGAAATGACTACTAGGTATAGCATGGCCTGGATAAATAAGAACCTTCACAGACATAATTGTCTTATTTGGGGCCTACTCATACACATCTGTTGTGATAAAAGCAAACCTCTTGTATTTTGCTGCATGAAGATGCATGTCAAGTAGAAATCCCATTCATTCCTATGGGTCTGGTTCACATCTATGTGCTGCAGTTTAGTGTTAAGCTGTCCTTACACTTTACGAATATCGGCCAATTTTCGTATGCGATCGCGTTTTCGGACGATATTCGTAAGGTTGATGGGCAGTGTACAACCACAAATACTGTACATTCAATCGACTTTTGACTAACCAGCAGTTTAGAAAACTTCGGTCGATCGTACGATTTTCGCAAGGTTGGTGGCGTTTCCGTTCGATTTAGAATGCAAATGCGCAGACAAAAATATGCGCGGTCCATTACCGCAATTCGTCCAGGTGCTTTCTTTGAATTACTACTGATTCAACCTAGCGATAATCGGGGCAGGATGGGGCCCCCGGAAAAGTTTCATCCGATGATCGCAAGGTGAACGGGCAGCTTTAGAGGCAAAGGAAAACTCTACGAGCCCATTCACACCTACATATGTGCATTACCAGGTGCACTGCATGCACACAGAACAGTATAAATCCCTGATGTCCAACCTGCAGCCCTAATGTGTGGCCCTTGGAGGCCCAGCAGATAGTAGTCTGTGTTTTGGTGATTACTCCAACCAGCAGAGGAATAATATTATGTAGACTGACTTCTGGCAGCTGAATTGTTTGGTTTATTTTACACTTACACTGTATCAGTTCCGTCTCTCCCGCCTCTATTTTTACGTTTTGTTTACCACTATGAACTTTTATAGTGGATCTTGGGCAGTCTCATGTAATATGTCTCTAGTCTATGACTGTCTCTTCTCCAACAAACTCCTTTAGGCCCCGTTCCCACTGCGAGATATGCAAATCGCACGTTTGTCACGCGATTTGCATATTGCGCGACATCGCGAGATTTGCCGCGCGATGTCGCGTTCAAGCTTGCATTGAGCAAGCTTGAATGGCGGCTAAATCCGCTCCAAAAAGGGTCCTGCTGTAGCGACACACGACCCGCGACAGCAGGACCCTTTGCCCCATTGGAGTGCATTGGAGCGCGATATCGCGGGAATTACCGCGCCATAAATCGCTCAATGTGAACGGGGTCATAAGGCTGGGTTCACACCTGGGCGTTGTTCAGCGCTGTTCGAAGTGCTGAAAAACGCTCAAGGAGTGAAATCCTATAAATCCATATGGGCATGGTTCCCACCTGGGCGTATTTCGTCGCGCTGAAAAACGCCCTCGGCGCATAAAAAAAAAAAAAATCATCATACAGCCAGGGAGGTTAGAAAACGAGCGTCGAACACGCGTTTCATTGGACTAAAAAACGTGCTAAAAAAAACGCGCCTAAAAAACGCGCCTATAGGAACGCCCAGGTGTGAACCCAAGCTAACAGTCTATGACCATCTCTTGTAGCCTCTGACTATCTCCTGTTGCATGTCTGCAGTCATTGGCCATCTCTTGTAGTCTCTCACCATCTCATGTACAATGTCTGCAGTCGCTGCCCATTTCTTGTAATCTTTGACCATCTACTGTTGCATGTCTGCAGTCTCTGACAATCTCTTGAAGTCCCTGTCCCTCCCCTGTAGTATGTCTGCAGTTTTTGACTATCTCTTATAGTCTCTAACCATCTCCTGTAGCATGTCTGCAGTCTCTGACCATCTCTTGTAGTATCTGATCATTTCCTGTTGCCCGTTTGCAGTCTCTAACCATCTGCTGTTGAATGTGTGCAGTCTCTGACCAACTCCTGCTGCATATCTGCAGTCTCTAACTGTCTCTTGCAGTCTCTGACCCTCTAATTTTGCATGTCTGCAGTCTGACAGCTTTCTGTAGCATTAAATTCAGCTTTCTGTAGCATTAAATTCATCAAATATTGTGTGGCCCTTTGATGTCAGGAGCTGCACTCAAGGCCCCTATATCAAGTTGACCATCCCTGGTATAGCCCCAGCGATCCCAATTCTAACTCAGCACACAGCCAACTTCTCACTGCACATATTTACATATATACTCATCTAAACATAGTGATCCATAGACTGGCTATTAATGACGGCAGGGGAGCAGACTGGAGAAGGGTGATGAGGTCACACTACTTATATTATCTAGATCCAAAGTACATGGCTCACTTCCTCCTACTACATAGCAGGACCTACTGCAGACATCTCAACTCTCCCGGAAGCTCCGGGAGTCTCCCGCTATTAGATAGCGGCTCCCGGCTGCCCGGGAGAGAAACATACCTACCACCCCCCTATACAGGAGGGACCCACCTTCTCCTATACAGCAGCACTCACCTCCTCGGCACCGGCGGCTACTGCCATCCCCATGGCTCTGAGCCCTTGCTGGAGCTCATGGATGTCCACCTTGCCATCCTTATTAATGTCCAGCTTCTGGAAGAGTTCGGCATACTTGTTCTGGGTGTCCGAACCTTCACACACAGCTCTGCACAGCACGGATCTCCTCATCTGTTCCCACATCGTCACTATCAGGTCGGGCCGAGTAAATGATGGTTGGTGTCCGGGGAGAGGTGTACAGACAGCCGGGCACACACTCTGCAGGCCAGAAGACAAAAATGTAGAAATGCAGGAAAGTGAGAGAGGACACCGCCCAGAGAGAGGAGGGGGAGGCGAGCATGGGAGGGCCGAGCAAGGAATTCCCTAAGAGGAGGCCGATCAGCGCATTCTACTAATCTCCTCCCAGATCTACTACACACGTCACATCTGACTTCTCCGATTGTTATTACGGTATGTTTTCCACAACACACTGCTTCACTCCTCAGATCTACTATGCACACTGCTACACTCCTCCGATCTACTATACACACTGCTACACTCCTCCGATCTACTGCTACACTCCTCCGATCTACTACACTCCTCCGATCTACTATACACACTGCTACACTCCTCCGATTGTCATTATGTGTCCACAACACACTGCTACTCTCCTCCGATCTACTATACACACTGCAACACTCCTCCGATCTACTGCACTCCTCCGATCTACTATACACACTGCTACATCTCCTCAGATCTACTATACACACTACTACACTCCTCCAATTATCATTATGTGTCCACAACACTCTGCTACACTCCTCTGATCACAGCTACACTCCTCCGATCTACTATTCAGGTTACACGATGTAACCGTGTTCGAACACCCGAACGGCCGAAAAGTTCGAATACGAACTCGAACCTAATGCAAGTCAATGGGGGTCGAACTTTTGAAAATGGTTGTCCCCTTTAAGAGGGCTTATTTGCAAGTTATTGTCCATAAAAGGTGTATGGGGGTCCAGGTACTGGCTTGGGGGACAGGAATCAATGACAAAAACAAACAAAAAAATACAGTTTTTAAAGGAGCAGTGATTTTTACATCACTTAAAGGGTAAGAATAAAAATGAAAAATTCCTTCAAATATCGTGCCTGCCTCTGGGGGGTCCCCTTAACCTGCCTGTGAAGTGGCGGAGCTGTACGATGTATAGAACCTGCTGCAGCAAAACTGACATTTCTATTTAAAAAAAATGATTTTTTTTATTTTTTATTCTTAAAGTGTGCAGTTCCCCCTCCCAAACAATACCAGACCCTTTGGCCTGGTTCACACCTGTACGTTTTGTAGCGCGTTCAACGCTCTACGAACGCTCTACAAAACGCTCAAACATGAAAATCCCATTGTTTTCTATGGGTATGGTTCACACCTTGCCGTATTTCAGCCCGTCTGAACGCGCTACAAAACGGCCTACGCCTGAAAAGGTACATGAGCTTCTTTGCGGCGTTTTTGTTGCGTGTTTCCATTGAGATACAGCCAAGTAGCCCTCGAAAACGCGTGTTTGTCGCTCGTTTTTTAACGCGGTAAAAACGCACGTCACGAAACGCGCGACAAACTTGCATATTCAATACGCCTAGGTGTGAACAGAGCCTTAAGGTCTGGTAGGAATGTTAGGAAGGATATTTAAAAAAAAAAAAAAGCTTTCCCTGGTGGTTGTGGGGGTCTGTGGGCAAGGGGGCTTATTTGCATCGGAGTACCCCTTTAATTAAGGGGGCACCCAGATGCCGCGCCCCTCCCTCACTAAAGGGTTAAATAAAATAGGGGGCGGGCCTTTTTCACGTCATTGTTCCAGTCTAAGAAGTCACGCTTGAGTGACCAGCTGGCTTTTATGCGATTTTACCTTAGCGCTATTTTATATATATTTCTTTGACCTAATAAACTTGGAATTTATTACGCTATGAGCGTATTCTTCATTTTTTTTGCCTGATTGGATATCTGACCTGGGGGACTTCTAAGGGCGGAGATCCCTGGTTCAACATCCCTGAGAAACAGGAGGTTTTTCTTTCTTTCCCTGGAGTTCCACTGAGCTGGAGAAGAGGATACACAGCTCCGGTTTCCATCTGACGAGATACACGGCTCTTTAAACATCAGAGATCCGGTGAGTGCATTCCCTTGAGGGGATTTTCTTGGTCTTTTTTCTGGATTTTCGTTGGACACATCACTGAACTGGAATACGCACCCGATTTCACTGTGGAGGTTTTTTTTTTTGGTTTTTTTTTGCTCTTATGGGGTTTTAATACTTTGAAAGACTCAGTCAATTTTGACTATCCACACACACACACATATATAATTTACCTAATAGAATTTTTTGTTAATTTTTTATGAATAATCAATTAATAACATTTTTATGCAGAGTGTTTTTTATGCAGAGTGTTGTTTATAATTTCATTGATATATGTTGTTTATTTACACACAAGACACATGCTTTGAACACTTTTTCAGATTTAAAACACAGGTTTATTTTTCAAGGAGTATATTTGATAAATTTTTTCTGTCTACTGAACAGTCGTCTTTTTCACATTGTTTCATTTTGGATCATTATCCTTTCACACACTGTCAGTTTTCTCACTTTATTTATATAGATGTCACTGACACTTTTTCATAAATTTTTTTATGAATGCTTCATGCTGGGATCATAACAGTTTGATCTTCTTATATCCATCACCGAAGGACGCTTAGCGCTGTACTATTTAACACATCTTAAATAAAATAGTTAATAAAAAGTCCAGACTTTTGATAAAATCCTTTAATTGAAAAGAAAAAAACAGACATATTTTTGACGAGTCTTTTATAAATAAATAGAAAAAAACAACCAAAGAATGGATCCACCGATGTAATCCATGGTCAATCACGACGTCACGTGACATAACTGGTTGCCAGGAGCTGGGCGGGATGCCGCACCTAAACCAGCCTGCCGCCGCCAATTCAGGTGGCAAAATGACTAGGGACACCCCTAAATGTATCCATAGCCCAAAGTTTTTTATTTTTATTTGGGATGGTGTGGTGAACACTAGCAGCCCATTCAGGGATAATCTGGTCAATACTTTTTCCCAGGTTTTTTTGGTAAAATTAGGTACCTCGGCTTATATTCGGGACGGCTTATACTCGAGTATATACGGTATCCTGAATCGTACCATATACGATTATATGTGGACTACCACTGACAGACACACCAGAAACTGTAGGTTCATATCACAGGAATCACCAGCCGCAGCATTAAGACAGATGTGAATGAGGCCTAGGGAAAGGCTTCCTCCTGCCTGCAGCAGACTGATGACATTATCTCAGCCTAGGCAGAGTCACCTGACTAGAGGTCAAGGATTGCTTTATAGGACTTGTTCATACAGGCGGCAAGGGGGTGGTAAAAACAAGTGCTTGATCCAAGTTTTTACCACCACCACCTATAAGGTACAATAGCAGACAATAAGCCCGGCAAACATGCCACAGCAAATTTTAAACAGAATGTCTCATTTGGCAGGCAGTGCCGATTGCCAAACACGACAATTGCAATAAATTGGACCATGCCAAAACATCATGAGTGTGTGGTTTGCAGTGCAGCATTGCAATTGAAAATCCCCAATGGGATAAAAAAAAAGGCATTCAGGAGGTGTCAGTATCGTCTCCCTAATCGGGCAGTCGCTGTTCTACCATCTTGTGAAAAGCAATCCACCGCAGAGGGGCATTAAAGCCAGACACCCGTCTGAAAGAGACCTGAATGGTAAAAGCTTTCTAGAAACATTACACTATTGTACATTGTGACATGTCTGGAATGTCAGTGAATTATTTGTGCACACTTGTAAAGTTACTGAAAGGTGCACTTTAAGGGTCCATGCCCACTAAAACCGCACCAAAAAGACACATGTAAGATGCACATGTGTTTACATCCTTTTATTTATTTATTTTTTGTAGGCGGTACCATCACTTCTACTATTAAAAGAGATGTGTTTGCGGCGTTTACATGTGTACATGAAAAATGCAGCCAGCTCTATTTTTTCAAAATGCAACGCACTGGTAGGAACTACACAATTGAACACTGACTATTTTGTGTGTATATACATTGTATTGCATTAAAAACATATTAAAAATGCATTGTTTGGGAATGGGCCCTAACTGCCATCTTCTCCAGATGCGTATACTCATTTTACTTTTGGAGCTTACACAGGCTATGAAGTTTCCTCTCAACCCCATGTGACAGTTTCGGGTTCCTAAGCCGATCAGCATGCGCCAGCACTTAGCACTTACCGCAATCACTGGAAGTTTTTCCCAGACAAAGCTCGGCTTCACTTTAAAGAAAATTTGCGATAAGCAAAAAATATAGGCTACAGTGACTGACCTTGCCTTGTCATCAGCCTGTCATTGTTGGTCACCCTAACCGCCCCCTCCGCTCATCCATTGACCTCCTGCTTTCCAGCTCCCTTGTCCACTCCTCCCATACTCGCCTCCAGGACTTCTCTAGAGTCTCTCCCATCCTCTGGAACTCTTTACCCCAACCTGTCCGTCTATCTCCCACCTTGACTGCCTTTAGGCGTTCCCTAAAGACTCATCTCTTCAAGGAAGCCTATCCCACCTCAACTTAACCACTCAACCATCACATTCTCAAATAATTCATCCCCACACAGCTACCTCCTCATGTATCATTTCCCCCTCCTCATTCAGATTGTAAGCCCCAGGGGCAGGGCCCTCCTTACCATCTTGTCTTGAATTGTAATGTCTTCCTTATATTGTAAAGCGCTGCGCAAACTGTTGGCGCTATATAAATACTATGTAATAATAATAATGTCACACAATGGGGGTGATTCAAAACAGCTTTTGCGACACATTTCAGGTCTAGCAACAACTTCATGTAACCTGTGCAACACCATCAGAGATCCAACGTGTGTCGCAGATTTATGTAGTCCTTATCTGTAATACTGTTCTAATATTTCCCTGTGACTGCCATACATTCAGGGAGTAATACCACCATTTCAGAGCTAAGAAACTGTCAGTAAAGAGCACCAATGTCATGTTGCTCAGCGTCCTTGGTTGCTAGGACGTAGGTACGGGCACTCTGTATAAATCCCACTGAATTACTTCAATATTGTCTTCATCACTGACCTAGAACAAAAATACAGTAGGGATAAGTGGAGTGATTGGCGAAATTTCATAGAAGGGGAACTTTCAAT